GAGAAACCAAATTAAATATTAATTTTTTAATTTGAGTAAGTGTTTAAAATAAATAATTAAATAAGGACTAATTAAGATAATTAATTAATGAAATATTTAAAAGAGAACCCAAATTAAATATTTAAATGAGAAACTAAATTAAATATTAATTTTTTTAATTTGAGTAAGTGTTTAAAATAAATAATTAAATAAGGACCAATTAAGGTAATTAATTAATGAAATATTTAAAAGAGAAACCAAATTAAATATATATATTTTTATTTGAGTAAATGTTTAAAATATATAATTAAATATACATATATCAATTAAGATAATTAGTTAATGAAATATTTAAATAAGAAATCAAATTAAACATTAAATTTTTTATTTAAACAAGTGATTAAATAAATAATTAAATAGATTAATTAAATATTAAATAAATAATATACATAATCGATTAAGATAATTAATTAATGAAATATTTAAACAAGAATGTAAATTAAATATTAATTTTTTTATTTGAGTAAGTGTTTTAAATAAATAATTAAATATAAAGTGAAAAATGTTTGGTTTTTTAATTTGTAATTTAAGGGTATTTTTGTCTTTTTAAACAAAATTCTATCTTTGTAATTGTATAAATTACTTAAGGATATTTTTGTCTTTTACCAAATAAATGGCCATTTTGAAGATTGGCAAAATTTTTTGATCAAAGTGAAGAAATGGTATTTTGACTTGGCTAATTTAAAAAGTACCCCGTCTCGGACTGTGGGAGCCAGGCGGGATCCGAATTCTAAGATACCATCATAAGGGTGTGTTTGACAAAGCAAATTAATGGAAGTCTTTTTTCAACTTTCAAGAATAATGCTATATAGTGGTGAGTATCAATTTATGTGACTTTCAATTAAAGGTTCAATATTTTATTAATTTAATTGTATATTTCATTTTAATGGGGTTTGACACCGGGGATGACTGCATACACACACATGGGAGGTCGAACACTATTTAATTCACGAGGGACCCCACGCATCCATGTGAGTGCATGGTCATCGGTGCAGTCATCCTCGTGGATCGTTTGACTTTATCCATGACATTTACCTAAACTGATGTAATGTGCTAAATAACATTACTATTCAATAAAACCTGAATTTTTAGTTTTAGTACTTATTTGAATTAGGATCCTGAAGGTGAATCAGATAATTTGGTCAATTGAGAATCTTTCCTCACCTAAACTGATAATAATTCATAGCATTAGTACAGTCTTTGGACACGATTTTTTTATAAAATTTACCTTACCGATAGTAAAAATGTAAATAAAAGTTCGAAGGAAGATTAAGACAAGAAGAAAAGAAAAATATGTGGAGAATTAACTATTACGTTCATTCAATTTACTTGTCTTATTCTCTTTTAAGCTCATATCAAGCATAGATGAGACTATTTAAAAGTAGAATGTTGGAGTTACATTTGACTAAGCCTCTGTTTGGTAGGAATTAAAATTTAGATTTTAATTTAAACTAAAGTTAACAATTAATTTTATAGAATTCACAATTTTTCAACCATACAATTTATCAACCTATATCAAAATCTACTAAAAGTCTGATTTTGATCTTCACCAAACAGGGACTAATTATATTCATATCAAGTATTAACAATTTTACAAATTGTTAATAGGGCTTTACGCATTACATTTTACATTATCGTAAAAAAAAACCTTTTGCTAAAAGATTCACAAGTTTGTCATTAAAATAGTTAAATAGACCAATATACCCTTACTCAAAAATAAAAAATTTCACCTTTAACTGTTTTTTTTTTTTTAATTCTCCAACAGTTCTATAATTCTGTCATTTCATCTAAAAAATTAAGGGATTTATTTAATCCCTATTTGAGCCTTATTTTCTAAAATTCATTTTCTATCACATTCTTTTAATAAAAGAATTATGTATGTAAATTCAAATTTTTTTCTTATTTTTAATCGCACATTCTTTAAAAAAATAAATAACTCTATAAATTTTATTTTCAAAAAATGATCTCAAATTAATCTAGATTTCTAGATATTTAAAAAGTTTAGATATATTTAATGAAAACTTTTCAAGACTTTTAAAAGTCATGAAATATTCATAAACAGATTTTTCAAAATCATCTTTTCCTGAAATTTCTTTCAACCACACTTTCTTCAAAAATAAAAAATCATTTTCACATTTTTTTTCATACTTTGTGACCCAAAAAAATAAATGAACAAATAAAATACTTTTCGCAAAAACACTTCTCAAAATATCAACTTCATGCAAGATCATAATATTTTTATTATATTTATTTATTCTTCTCTTCTAAAAAGCTTTCTTGCAAAAATAAAAATCAGCTACAACATACAAATAGCGCAGAAATCAAAAATTGCATATAAACCTTGTTTGGTAGGGATTAAAATAAGATTTTTGGTAGATTTTGATAAAAGTTGATGAAATGTATGATTAAAAAATTGTGAATCCCATAAATATGTGATTAATAATTTAAATTAAAATCTAAATTTCAATCAATACCAAACAAGGGCATAATATCCGACTAAGCCCAAAATGGCCAGCTTGCAACATCACAACAGAAGAATTAGCTGCTAAAAGAAACAAATACTCCACAATTATGCATACATTCAACAATCGGCGAACTTCAAATATACACCTTTTGCGTTACACAACTTATTGAAAAAAATGGAAACGAACTTATTAAATCATCTTCATATATCCACAACAAGAACGGGGTGTTTGGTATACAATATTGAATATGACTAAACCTTAGAATAAACAAGATTGTAACTTATTTATTCTTTTTCAATATTGTCAAATACTTTGTTCTCTACTCTACCAAACATGCCATGCAGAGAATCTCAAGAATTGCATTATTCTTGATGGATAAATGGGGAGGAGTTCACCTCAGTGGTACTGTAAAATGAGTCATCCTGACCACCATAATAGTTCTCTTCCTTCTCATCATCCCACTTCACGACTTCCTTTACGTATTTGAATGCCTCATCGACTGTGGCTCTGTCTCTTGCCCGAGATTGCCAAACAAAGAGCTTTTGATCAGTGAGAGAAGCATAAAGGTCCTTAAACTTCATAGCTATATAGAAATAAGCTTGGTGTGCCAAGGATTGGTTGTTGTGGTGGGTTTGTACGGGACTGAAATCTGTGAACCATTCACAAGTACTCAAAGGCACACTGTTAATTTTCTCCTCAAAAAGATCATACTTGTTCAAAATCAACACAAAAGGGGTATCTTTGAAACAAGGGTGCCTGATCATTGTTTCAAAGAGTTCTCTACTTTGAATCATCTTATTTTGAAGTAGGACTCCGCTACCAGTACTTTCCCGAGAAAGCCACACCTCATCATAATCACTCAGGGCAATACAGAAGACTACCACACGAACATCCTCGAACATCTCCAACCACTTGCACCCTTCAGTCATTCCCTTGGCATTTACTCGAATAAGTTGATACCTGATAGTCAAGTATTAAGGAACAACTAAAAAAATCAGCGACATAAAAAATTAAAAGAACTGCAGCAGAATTCTTGTCAGAATTTTCTTGGGTGCAAATTATAACTATTTACTTCAATAAATATCAGCTCTTCTATATATGAAATTACCTCCAACTCTTATCTCCATTCTTCAAATTTGATGAAGTTTCAAACTGTCTCTGAAGTATGTTATCAAGTTTTTTTGTCAGACTTCTTTCTAATTTTTGATACAGTTCCCATCCTTCCAAGTAAGTGTGCATCTTGTTGAAAGTTATTCCTTAACTAGAAGAATCTAGTTTCCCTGTTTGTACTATTGCTATTTGCTGTACATATGGGACCAAATAGAGACAACTCTATTCGAAGAAGTAAGAGCAAAAGTAAGAACAAGGAGGACAAAGAAGTATCTATCAACCTCAAGAGCATCCCACATCTCATCCTCATCCCCAGAATACTCTGATGGGTCCACAACTTAATCATTCTATGATGAAAATAGATAGAATAATTGCCTCTTTTTTCTGTTGTGTACATAGCAGGTATACAATAAACTATACAAGATTGGGAAGGCTGAAATAGTTCTTGATGGAACTGAGGAGGAATGGCAACTTTGAGTCCCAACATGAATATGCTCCAGATTTACTAAACAAGGATGATAGGGCGTAAACCAATGGATAGTCCTATTGAGCCAAACCGGGAGTTGAAAATTGTTATGAGGAACTCAAAGCTGACTGAGAGAGGTACCAAAGCCAACCAACTGTTTCCATTTCCCCAACTTCAGTTTATACTGGCATTGGTTGACCAACTATTTGCATAGACCCACACACTTTCCCTTTCAGAACGTGTGTATCTATGGCCGAAAAAGGTACTCCAGCTGGCCTCACACTAATTTTGGCCTCCTATTGTAAATATAAGGGCACTCAACTGCCTTTTTGATCAGTTAGTGATGTCAATTTCTTGTATTAAATTGTACTTGGATACTTCAAACCACTCTTTGTCCTGTTGTGGGTTACTCCGAACAGTGACAAAGGTTCACATAAAAATTCATGGAATTCATTTGATTTAACCCCAATAATTTAACCAATTTTATCTTCAGGAATCTAAAGGAACAATTTAGCACTCCATTAAACCTACTTATACAAGCCAATCGTCCTTTCTACAACAATTTGTAAAACGCATCGAAATCCCATTGGACAATCATCATTATGAGGTGCCATTTCTGGGCTAGATCAATCCTAATGAAAATTTTGGCAGTCCTTTTGAGATCTTCAGTCTCACAGAAAAATTTAAAAGTAAATATGAATCCAACCGCTAAAGTTGCCACAGATTATTCACTATTCAGAAACTGAGAGTCCGAGACTACTCCACATATGAGAAGCTTGTGCATCAATAATCAAGGTCATATACCATAATGATAATACTAGGGAATGTAGAAGACTACATTTGAAAAAGTAAGTTTCTTAACACCAAGTTTTTACCTGGACAGTGATGGGGGAGCAGATTCCATATTTTGTGAGTATGTCTCAGACATTGGGCTCCGATCATCCAGGGAGAACTCCATAAAAGCCAAACCATTCCCTTGAGTGACGCCTTCGCAGTATAATATGTCCCGATCAGATGGCTCATATTCATTACTTGATATCTCAACCGCCTGAGGGGAAAATATAGTTTCACTAAGCAACATAAACTTCAACGGAGGGATCTCAATAAAATATCAACCCTATGAATATTTACACTGTTGTATTCCCATCATCGTGTGCTAAATGGTGACATTGTATAATGTTGCAGTACTGCATCTAATCAAGTAGAGAGCGTAATGTTTCCCAGCACAAACTATGAAGTCGAGTATGGATTCAGTCCTACATATAACTTTTAACGAGCTTCATCCAATTCAGTCAGTGTTCTCAAGAACAAAGTTCCTACTGGACTAATATAGCCTTCAACTCCTATATTATCATAAAGTAGATGTGCCAAGTGTTGAAAGAATATATTTCGGTGCCTATACGTATTTGGTATTGCAACAATATTCTCAGCTGAAACTATCAAGGATAACTAGGCAACTGCTGGATGTCTACGGAAATGAACATAGCCTGAATGACTAAGCAACAGTTTTCAAGTTTTAAAATTTTAGATCCATTGATGAACAACTAGGCAATGCTCACCCAGACTTATGTCAGATTACTATCCTAAGCCATAAATCATTTTTCTTCTGAATAATAAATAAGCTTACGAGAGATATCCGAGATAAGGTCCTCTCATGTAAGTTTTAAGTCGATTATTTAGTTATAGTTGAGAACATTAAAAGAGGGAACAAATTATAAGTTAGGAATTTGAAGTAGCATTTTAGAATCTAAATGTTTTAGATCAAGTAAAACTAGGACGCAATGCACAGAATGCCCTTTCAACAATAGTAGGAATAAGGATAGTTGTAGAGTTACAATCCAAGATCTTGTTGTCCTAAAGTGTGATCGTTTTAAGTATTTAAGTTCGATTATTCAAAAGGAGGAAACAGTTGAATAGGATGCAATGTGCATGATTAGAGAAAGTTTGCTGAATGGATAACTTCATCATGAATTTTATGCATTTGAATGCACCTACTGAATTAAAAGATACCATCTAAAGAGCAGTAGTTGGATTAGTTAAGCCATACAATATGGAGTGTTGAGCCATTGAAGGACAAAATATACGAAAAAAGGCGTAGAAGACAAAAGAATACCCTGCTCAAGAAGTATTCTGCGACATCTGGTAGGAAGTGGAGCTCATCTTTTCTCCTATAAGTCTCCTGTATAGCAGGATCTCTCCACACTTCTTCAACAAGCGGAGCATATTCTCGTGTAGCTGCAGGGAAGAATGCATCCAAATCTCCAGTGGCAATAATATCCAGCAGCCAATCAGAAAAATTCTTCAACCTCGGATTGAGGATATAGACACATTGAGTACTTCCATCTGCGTCAACCACTCCACCTGAGTAGAATTCAAACTCAATAATCAGACCACAAAAAGGGGAAATAAATATACGGCCCCCTTGTAACATCAATATTCTCAGGTAAGAAAGTAGAGCCTCGCCTCTTCTTCTTGTTGAATACAAATCTACTTTAGTTCTCCTAGAAATGTCGACTAGAAAGAAAGAAGTTTGCACTTTGTTGGCTAACTAATTAATTGGAAGACTTCCACTTGAGGAAGCCTATCAGAAAAGAGTTAAATGTTTTGGTTTTTCTCTCGGACCTCTTCCTACAGATAAGGAAAAATATGTTATAGCATTTTGTATTGAGACCACGGTCAAATACTAAAAATCATTAAAACAATGCAATGTAATCAGTGAAATATTGTTGATAAGGAAACTCACAACAAAGTACTTCTAAATGAAAAATGATACGAAGTGCAATATCACCATAACATGAATGACATGCCTAGAGATGAGGCAAAAAGTTTGGTTTATAACTATTTGGTGGTCCATCTCCATGTATTCATTCCCGAAATAATTTCAGATAGTGCATTAGTTGATTATAAACAATTACCAAATTGATTGTTGTGTAGATCTCATATTTTTCCCTTGTTTTCAAAAATGAGAACTGAGTAAAAATTCTTGTCACTGTTCAGATATATACCTGTTTCACAGATTTTTTCATAAGAACCTTCTTCTTTTGTCTTTGACAAGGCCTCTTCCTCAAAGCGTTCCCGTCCATCAAGTAAAATACTGAGATACCTGTATATATTGCTCTGTATCATAAGCTTAATATCCTGCAATTCTTCGGTGGTAAACTTGTTGCCATACAAAATTTTGGCCTGTTCAATTTGGCATGACAAAGAGGAAAAGCTGATTAGATACAACAGAGAGAAAAATGAATGTCCTAATTGTAGCATTCAAGGAAAATCCACTCAATCAAATATATTAATAAAAGTTAGTATCTAAAGTAATCATCCTAAATCACTGAAATGCTATGGTTGGAGGAGGTTTGGGAGAAAAATAGCATTTGGATAAAAAAGCTTTTATCTGTGTGTGTAACCAGGAAAAGATCTGCTGCAATTGAAGAGTTCAAGTGCTGAGCTTGCAATTGCATTGATATATTATCAAAGAAGGCATGGGATTTATCTAGGAACCAAATTGAATTATGGAGACGGAAGGCAAAGTTTTTATAAATATACTGAAAGTCAAATAACTAATATTGATAAATAAGGTAAACGCCGAAAGTAGGATCATATATATATATATATATATATATATATATAAAGCTTCTCATTATATATTTAAAAAACAGCATTTTTTAGACAACCATGCCAAGCGAGAAAACGGCATTTTTGAAACTTTAGATCTTATAAATAATCTCCAATTGTCCTGGAACAAAGTTAGCTTTTCAAAATTCTTCTTGTATTGAAACTTTGCAAATATATGTTGAAGCTTTCCCCAATATAGACAGCTATAATATTTATGTCATAAAATATCTCCCAAGAATCTTAATATGCTACCTGTTTGAAAACAGTGCTGGTCCCAGAACCTTGTAGTCCAACCAGAAGAAGCTTCTGAATTTTTTTCTGCTCTAGATAATTTGGTACAGTAGAATAATTGCTAGTCTCATCCTTCTGTCCATGAGGCTGACCTTGGGGTACAGGAAGAGAGAACAAGGAGCAGACAAAACGTGTAGATGCCTAGCACAGTCATATTTGTGATGTTTGGTAAAAGATTCACTAGATAAAGTACTTTCAGCAGGCTATATAGTGCATTTTCCTGAAACATACCTTTTCCCATATATTTCCCCTGATATTGTTTTGTCCTTCCTCCTCATATCGACCATCATCATAGACCCAAAAATGGGTATCACGAGGACATTGCACATTAGCGAGCTGCAAAAGCACACAAAATTACGTGTGGTAGGCCAAATATCCTAAAACCAGAAAATTCGGCAAAGCATAGGTTTCCTTTCAAAAGTCGAATCATAAGGCCAAAGACACAGACTTCAAGCTATGAAAATGGCAGCAAAATTTGTTTGGATGCATATTGTGTCTTGTGGTTGTATCTTAGAAGGTCAACCTTGTTAAGAGTGGCCCAAGACTTCATATGTTGACCACCATTATCATTTTCAATTGTTATAAAATCTTACCCTTAACATGTCTGATGCCTCCGTAAGATGTTGACTCGATTGAAAAATGAGAATCTTGTAATCCAATGGCTTGTTTGAGCATTACAGCTTTGATACCCTATGAGGCCTTAGGTTCTATCTTAAAAGATCAACCTTACTAAAAAGAATAATCCAAGTTGTTATATGTGGATCATTGTTCTCATTTTTAATTGATGCCGAACTTTACACTCAACGATGCATATCTTAAATCTTGAAGAAGAAACCGAAAAGAAAAGGAACTTTACCATATTGCGTGCTTGAAATTCCCATCCTTTCCATTTTAAGTCTTCTATTTGTTTTTAATTTTCATATCTTACTTATACATGTTGCATATCACAAGAAATAGGCACTTGGAATCAAGAGAAAGAAATAGGAATATAAACAAAGGTGTTCTCTAACATAAAAACCGAACCTGGGAATGATTTTTACTATCTAATAAGATTAGCTCATAAGACCATCACGTGACATTCTCAGAATAAACAAAAAAAGGTAAAGGATAAAGTTTTTAGCAATGTTATAGCAGGGAACAGATAATATAATTTCTATGGTAACAGAAAGATTGGTTCCCAAATAAAGAAAGACAAGCTAAACATTCAACCGTGTAAAAGTCAAGAATAAGAAATAGAACGAGCACATATAAGAGAGTTAAAGAATCCCGTATTTCACTTAAACACATAAAGCCAGCATACAGCTTCATCGATATTCAGAAATTCTTTTCAAAAATTCTTATACTAATCATTACCATTTTCATTTTTTGAATTCCAAAATACATTCTGTGGACAAATAAACCCAAAATGAGGAAACTACAATCTTTAATTATCAGTTCACAATATTGAGGACACTGAATATAGTCTTGGATGTCATTGACAGTAGTCTGCAGCATGTCAAAAATCCTACATATGTATAATAACATATATAGATAACTTTGGTAACTCAAACAATGTAACAGATAAATCTATACCAAATTTCAAGTGACATGCTCCCGTGCCTGATCAACAGATTTCTTTGTTACCTGTCCCATGCATTTTGCACTTACCCCAATCAGTTTCTCTGTGATTAATATTTATAAATTAAAAAATCAACTCCCAGCTCAGAAGGGAAAATCAATTAAAGAGCTCAAGTGGAGCCATCTGCCTCAGCTTTCATAATTGCTCTTAGAGTTGTTCATGGAAACTGAAAGACCATCTATCAAACCAGACCAATCTGAACCAGGGAAAAAAAACAAAAACAAAAAAAACATATCCATAGGAATCTAAAACAATTTTTTCCATATTTTTCCACCACTACTTTTTTTTTTTTCCCTTCTTGAACTAAGTCCTACTACTGTAGGCCAATGATGGGCCGCCAAATGCAGCGAAGAAACTATGATGCATAATATAATTTCACTGACAAAATTGACATCTAGTATAAAATTATGATCAAGGAATTCAGAACATAATAAGGAAATTTACAAAATATCATGTACATGAAAGAGGTGCTAAGTTCATTCTATAATTGGGGTTTATGTACAAGGTGGGAACACACAGAACTTAGTTCAGCAGACTTTTTATCTTTTCCCCTTGTATGGGGTTGGTTATTAGAAATAATACGTCGTCAAGTTTCTCCTCGTTTACAAGGATTACCTAGAAGATTTATTTTATTTCTCTCTGTATGGCACCTCCTAATCAGCATAGAGTTGAAGTTAAATAATGAGCACTAAATTGACTTTTGTGGTCAATATCCAGTTGACATTTGGTACCATAAACATCATATAGAAAATGACTTCCAATGAAAATTTAGGGAAAAGCCTGTAACTCAAACAAGAGTTTGTTCCGATACTTGTATAGGCATTTTTAGTTCAGTGCTTTAGTGGAACACATATATACTCTGACGGGACCCAAAAATATGGGTGAAAATTCATGGAGCATCCAGTGAAATAATGAAAAAGAATCAGATTCCATAGCAGAACCCAGGGGGAGCCATGTCGCTCGTCCTAACGTAGGTCCACCTCAGGTTTGACCAAGCGGGCTACTGAACCTTCTGGTTTGACTTTTCCTTCTACAAATCCAATAGTGTAATGGTAACTTCTGATTTCATTAGACATAGTATTCCATTGAATTCCGTACCAGTCCTTAACTGACTTCATCCAGTAAACAATCAAACAAACTATTCCTTGCTGGATTATACCAGATGTATTAATTTATATTATATGAACATCGTATTACTGAGGGCTCGTCAATATCACTTAACCTACATTACACAAAGCTGATCGCAACATCTAATTTGTAGTATTCAACTGAAGAACCTAATAGCAAATCCAAGATAAGAAGTCTTGATTACTCCTATAATTAGTAAGTTCATAAACACCACAAGAAATGCATAAATCCTCCTTTTATCAAACTTTCTTTTCCAGTCTTATTTATCGCCATAAAGATACCAAACAGAAAAGAATAGTAATGGATTTATGAAAGGAATAAAAATCAGCATGTGGTATTATATCGCTAGCGACCTATTTTTCTACATTTTAGAAATAAATTATTAGTATGAATTTGCATGAGTACACATATGCCTACATATGTTATCTGAAGATTTATACACTTCAATTTTAGTCATGCAGCGAAAGACCAACCTTCAGCACTCTCAGTTCAAGTTTTGTGATCTGTCGACCATTGATGTAAACCTCAGTGTTCCCATTGCTTGCATGTGGACTAAGTTTTCCTGTGAAATTTATGTTTGAACTTATAAATCTATCTGGTTTTTCTCCCTCCTGTCAGATGGAAATGTAAAAATTGTATTAGCATTTTTTCTTTTTCCCAGTAAAAAAAATAAAATAAAAAATAACAGAAGTCAGCTGCAGATAATAAATTACCTTTCCCCAAAGACCTGATTCCTTGTCATACCAATATCTTCCTGGCTTCAATTTCGAAGGAGGTAAAGGGCATCCAAAAAGTTCTGCCATCTCTTCTTGTTTTAAGGGGTATCCATTAACAATCAACTGCTCCGGTCGAAGCTGATTGGCAGAACATTCTTTCTCTGATTTCATTATATTTTTAACTTCCAAAGGACTAAGCAATCGTGACAATACCCTTGAATGTTTACCCAATTTGAATCGTTTCGACTCATCGATCGGCTCACCAATGCACGTAACACATTTGCGCCCTTCTGGCATTGAACCCATTACTCTAAGCACACAGCTGCTGCAATACTTTGCATCACAAACTAGGCATGACTCCTTGGTCTCCCACTTCCCTTTTCCGCATCTATAACACACTCTTGTTTTCTTTCTCTTCTTCTTTTCTTTGGACACAGAAATAAACTCGGGAAACACTTGTTGTTCTACATCTACCAATCTCCTTTCTGATCTATCAACATTATTAAAAGTGACCAATGTTGCTCTTCTTCCTTTACTGGCAGACTCTTTTGAAGCATTATTATCAGGAAAGTGCACCGACTCTGGGGAAGCTGAAGGGGAAGGGGAAGGAAAATCAGCATTTTGCAGGACAGAAACCTCAGGTACCGAACTTCCTGACATCGTAGGACTTCGATTGGCTGGACTTGTAACACTTGCAATACGAGAAAGCGGCAAAGAAATTGGTTCCATTACAGGGGCCTTATCACGAGACAATAATATCGTAGATCCTGAAACAGGTTCAGCAGTTGGAATAGCGTCTGAATTCACATCAAGGGGTTTTACACAGGGAAGCTCATATGAAATTGGAGGGCCGTTATATTCCATGGCTATGGAGTAATCCAATTTATTGTCATCGGGAATGGAAGCCCCCGGGGGAAGCATCTTCCGCACCATCTCCCTCCAATCTTCTCCCCCGTTTTTCTCCATCTTCTGTCACACCAAATCTGTCTCCTTTAGTTTCGAACAAAGCTCCAATCTTTCTGTATCTAATAGTCCGTAATATTTCAAAGTTTCAACACATAAACTTTAACAATAATCAGACAAAAACCAATGCAACTCGTCAACCGAGTTAAATTTCAATCATAGACACAGACACAATGCTGAACAATATTCCTTTCCAGCAGATCCAAGAGATGACCTGCAACCAAGGTCCAATTTCACAAACAACCTTCGAATTTGAAAGTATATGAATGCATAAAATGATCGAAGACAAAAATCCCAGAAAATTCAACAGTCCAAGCACAGATCTTTCCATCTTAAAAAAAGGCTCACGCTGTCACGCACACATGAATAGATAAACCCCTAATCTTTACTGAATTTTATAATCAAATTTGTTAACTTGAAAAGGAAATCTTCGATGTTGAAAGTTTCAGAGTCAAACAAATCATCTATGAACTTTCAAACCAACCAATCATACCCCCCTACCCCATCTACATATATGAATTTATGAAACAATTATTTAAAAAATCTTTGCTTATAAAGATAAAAGGTGCATAGAAATGTAAAGCAAACATGAAGATAAGTTTTACTTCAAAAAAAAAGTGAAGAATTTGGTATAGAAGAACAAATAATCCAAAACAGTTAACAGATACTTTTTCGAGTATACAAGTACCTGAGGAAAAAAATTGATAATACAGATTGCTTTTTAAGCTTTATAGCTCTGAAATTGTAACGGGTTAAGGAAAAAATCTACCCTTTTTGAAGAAGAAGAAGGTGATCATAATTCGTGTAATATTATTTTATTGAAGAATGTGTGGTTGAAATGATGTCAAAATACTGTTTAAGAATGTATTTTTTCGGAAAGAATGTGACTCAAACAAGGGCATAATAAGTAATTTTATATGCTTAAAATTTAAATTTTGTCAAAAGAGCCATGTGTGTAACATGTCAATTAATATTTTTATAGTTTACTTTAAAAATGTAACTAATCGTAAAAAAATCATATTTTTCTTCGTAAGAGCATTTAGGGATACTGCCTCATTTCATATCATGTAACCTAAAAAGTGATTATCGTATATGTGATATCCAAATCTAGAAATATAGAGGTTACTAATATTTTTAAATGTGAATACGTGTCTTTAATATTATCAGAGAGATGAGAGTGTATATGATATTGTCCCAAAATAATAACGCGTGTAATGTTGAACAATTAGGTTGCATTACTATGTTGTACTTAAAACAATGACGCTATCCAAAATTTAGACAACGAAGGGATGCGAACAAGTCGAGGGCAACCCTCCTCGTCTGTCTTGTCATAGATATTTAAGAAGTGACAAACGAAAACTATATATTTGGTCTTGCCTCATTTTGGAGAGAAAAATTGATAGGACGATTCTATGCATAGATGTCAAGAAGTTCACTTAAATGATGACACCTTCAACCTCAAATCACTCAAATTGCAATATTCACCATGTTCCATGTGGTAAAAGATGGGACTGGACATGGTCCGAGTCGAGTCGGTTCGGTTCGGTAATAACGAGAATCGAATCGACCCGAATTTTTCAAGTATTTAGTAAGTGGAACTGTCGGGTCCAAATTTAATACGGAACTGTTCTAGTTTGGTTCGGTTTGGTCCGGTTCGGTTCCACTCGGTTCCTAATATAATTAAATTTTTTAATATATACAAAATTACGTTAATTTAATTAATTATATGTTCAATATTAGTTTTTACAAAATAACGTAATTCAATCTTATGTGTTTCATATCTCTCTTTGCTGAATTTTTCATAAATTTGATTATTAAAATCACAGAAAGAGAAAGATAGCGAACTCAAAATAATTAAGAGAGATGTTGTAGAGTTTTAATTTGATTTTCTCTAATAGAAACGACACTACTGTAGAATAATATATTTGAACAAAATTGAGGTCAATTTGATTAAGTTGATTTTGAACTGAAAATTAGAAATAGGGAAATCATATTTTGTGGTTTGAACTAAATTAACCAGTTAACAAATTTATTTAGAAAAAATAAAATAATTTTACTTATTTAAAATAAACTAATTAAAAAAATTACGAAAATTTAGTTCTTCGGGTCTTGCCCTAGAATCGAGAATCGAACCATACTCGTCGGTTCTTGATTCAAATACCCGTTCGGGTATTTAACTTGAAAAGAACCGTAGGATTCGGTTCGGTTCGAGAGTTTTGTCCAGCCCTAGTAAAAGAGATAAACAAAAGCACGTAAGTGACGCGTCACATTTTGAGTGGCTCAAGGTCCAACGTGTCATAATTTGAAAGAACGATGACATCATGCATGCATATATAAGTATGACCCATTGACGTTTCTCTACAAAAAAGAATTGGATTTATTTTTTAATTTATTTGGAAAATAACACGTGGGATGGGTCTCTCAACTTATTGAAATGTAACAAATAGATCACTATACTAATATTTCCGCAGCCAACAAATAACCTTACTTTTATTTTTCCGTTTTATTTTCCTTCTTTCAATTTTGCTTGTTTGGTTAAATATAAGAGTAAAGTCGCCTTTATAATAAATATTGTTTTAAATCAAAAGACGATTCATTGAGGATTAAAGTGCTACAAAATTAAAAAGTAGCATTAGAGCCGTCAAAGTACTAGGTTTAGAACCTACTTGCTACATTTCCAATAAGCTAAGGACACCAATTGTAATTTTCCTAAAATTATCATTGTTGACGTCGAAATTTATAAGAGTTAATTTCGAATCAATTTTAAGAAAGAGGTGCGATCAAAAGATCATAGCGGGTAAATTATTTTAAAGTTTTTCTTTGTTTTTATGTGCCGAGTTTGTTGTTGTTTTTTCTATTATTTCATTATTTATACGTGGTTTCCAATCGAAATTACGTCCAATCAATTACAGTGCCGAGCTCGAAAGTTGGCTCGTCGAATTCTTTAGTGATTGGACGATGAGGTCGATGACCATGTGCCAATGTTTCCCTGAGTAATGATAACCTGTGAAGAATTGAAGATTCCGAGCCTTGGATTGGTAGCATCGGGCGGTGATTACATCACTTATGCCAAGTGTGCGAGATTGGGCGAGTGATGTGACAATGAGCAATCATGATGTCTCTCTTTTGTGAGGGCGGCGATGGAATGCCGAACTTAACTTTTGTGATCGAGCTGAAATCTGCTAAAGTGGGGCCTACGGACGATTTATCATGAGGTCGGAGTTCGGGGATCAACAATCATTTTGTCAGATTTTTTTTTTAGAGTTATTCTTTTGCTAACAAAATTATTTTTTAAATAATACATCTTCATAAAAACTGTAAGTTTTATATACAGCCAAACGAAGCTCTTAACAACTATTTTGATGGATTTAAAGTAAATAATAATGTTTTTTTTTTCAAATATAATCAATATTCTTTTGTAATTCTTTTTTCCAAATATAATCAATATTCTTTTGTCCATGTGGTATAAGAGTTTTTATTTTTATACTTGATGCCAATTTTATTTAACCTTTGCAAGATTTTCCAATTTTTTCTTGTTGAAAATGTCGCCCTTGTACATATTCAGTGGCATGACATTTGTTTCGCTTTAAATAAATATTAATGAAACATCATTTGAGTTTGAGTATGTTTGTTTGATTGTTTCGATATTCGAAGTATGTTCGAAACATTGTTATCTGTCTATTGTTTTGTTTTTCGCAAACAAAGATTTTCTATAATTACATAAACATCAGCTTAAGTATTTTAGTGTCGTGTCTTTTTAACAAAAAACTTTTCATTTTTGTCTTTTTAATTTTATTATATAAAAGTCGTGTTTGTTTGTTTATTTGCGCAATATTTTTCATTTAGAATTTTATCGTCGATGTTGAGGTTATTGGTATATTTCATAAATAATCAACTAAAAATGATCGTATAAATATTTTTTAATTAAAAATAAGTCATGAAATAATTGAAAAGATGACATCTTTAGTCAAATTTCCCAATCGTTACCTATGGGCTATCGCGAATGTGCCCATGAAACAAATATTTGTATATAAAAAACTTTTTACTCTATACTCCCTTTTTGTACATGATAAAATATTTTTAACAATGTTTTAAAAGGATCGTCTAGGCTTTGCTTAAGCACATGTGACTCTGTTTGTTTTCCATTTATGGAAGAATGAGAATAAAAAATATAGTCGTTACGAACCCCACACAAGAAATGGAAATTCAAATATAGTGATTTGATGTGATGAAAAATGATCATATTTTCATTTTAACGGTAAAAGAATGAGAAACATGCTGGGGCATAGGTTTGGGATCTAAAAAATTTCTTGCCCCACATTTAGGCGGAAAAATACTCTGTCAACTCTAAGTTGACAACCTAACGCAGACCCTTCTTTTTCCAAATAGTAATTTTCTTGCTTTGACATTCATTTTAACAAAATATTGAATCCCTGCTAAAATTTAGAAAGAAAAATAAAGTCCTATAAAAAATCTAGCCCAGCCCAAACTCAATCTACCATCATAGTTTTCTCTTCTCAAAAAAAAAGAATTATTGATTTTGGAATATTTATGATTTCGAGAATTATATTTTTATTAAAAGCTTGAATATGTATGAATTTTCTATGAAATTTTTAGTGTGTTATTTTATTTATTTATTGGTTTAAAATAATTAAAATAATATTAAAAATAGGAGTACGAATTATTAATCTGGACTTCGCCTAAGCTTGAAACTTGACCTTCATGTCCTGTGTTTTTCAAAATCTTGCTTTTTAGTAATTTTTAAAATAAAGATTTTATGATAAGTGATTCTATATATATATTTTTTTACTTTTTGCTAATATATGATTAAAAAGTACAAAATTAAAATACAAAAAATAATTTTAGTTGAATATGAATGTGCGATCCTAATCTCATGTACTCCTTAAACGCGGGAGGTCAATTCTATATAAATGTGATAAAAAGTGATTATCAAATAATTAAATTCACACCGTTGCCTAGCACCTTAGTAGTACTCTCTTACTTTTATGCATTGGCATCACTCTCTTCAATTATCTGCAAATAAACATAAATCCAGAATGTGGTGAAAAATTATAAATTCTATAAATCTTTTTATTTATTTTCCTAATTTGGTGCTATTTGTGTAAATTCTCTGTAATCGGACCGTATTGTCGGATCCAACTTGAACTAACCACGGTCCTGTCCGATCCGACACGCCAATTCCTCACTTTGAATTAATACGCAGAATCTCCGATCAAAATCTCTATTTTCTTTGGAGTTATTTCCTCGACTCTCCCTACTTCTTTTTTTTTTTGGTTGGATTCAATCAATAGAGAGATGCAGACGTTGGGTGAATTCAAGCTGCCTCATTTCTTCAATTATCCTCCTTATTTCACGTAAAACCACCTTTTACCCTTTTACTGTTTTCATTACATAATTTGTCAGGATTATTGGTTGCTAAGTTAGCTAGTGTTAATTGTTGATTTTGTTAACTCTGATGAATTATACTGTATAATCACCGTTCGAGGTGACTGACGTGACGGATTGATCTGTACGCTCAATCGCTGTTAAGGGCTCGCTGTATTCTTCAAGTTGTATTATGATTTTATAACTCAATTTTGGGTACTAATACCTCAATTTGTTGATGTGCAAATGCGGTGATTAATTTATGCAATTTTTTAATTCAAAAAATAAATATACTTTGCGCTGATTGAACTATAAAATAAAAAGGAATGGAATTGACGTCCTATTGGAATCTTAAATTGTGTTGAGCTCGGTTATTCTAGATGGCACACGCACAATTTTGCTTGGGTTGGATGGCCTATTGAATGCTGTTCCCCCATTGATGTAACCATGTCTTTGTGCTTCTTCATACTTGTTTTTTAATTTTATTACCTTAATACTTTTAAGTAAAAGCCGTTGGGTGAGCAATGCCTGTTATGCTACGTATCCAATAATTGACCTTTAAAGAATCTGGATTTATAGTCTACGTTTGGCGTATTAGATTAGGCCATATAAAGAATTTATTGTAAAATTATAATGAATAATACTATATTATGGTGGATTTAAGTGGATACTGGATAGTTTTTTTGATTTTTCATTCGAAAGTTAATCATTTGCCCTACTGATCATAAAACATAATACAGAGGTTGGAAGTGGGTACATGCCAGATAAAAAAAGAGATAGTAATTGACATTTTCTAAAATGAAGTAAAAAACTATTATCCACCTTTTTCCACCATGATACCTCTACTTAGTAATGTTGATTATAAAATACTCTATTTTTTATCCGATCTAATCCGGTGAACCAAACATGACCATAATGTATTATACTCCCTGTACCATAGTCATGTACAGGTTCCCACAACTTCTGATTATACATATGTTGGAAATGAATTCTTTTCTACTATTATATCTCAACATTATTTTACCCTATCACCTTTCTCGATTTGCATTAAATTCCATCCTAGTTGAAATATAGTGATTTTGAAAGTCATCTTCATTTCATTCCTGCAGTGGGCTAGAGTTACATTGATGTTGAACTGAGAATATCATAGCCTTCCAAGGATAGGCTAAGGTCCAAAAATAAGATTTTCCAACCTATTTGATAGACCATAATTTGTTAATTGTTATGGCGTTCCCACATGTTCCTGCAGATATCAATGAGAGTTTTTATTCTTATTCGCAGTGAATTTCTTTGAAATTTTTATCCTTCCCATGGAGTTTTGTGCCAACAATAAAATAGTATCCTCACCAATTATTAGACCATCTAATATTCTGAAGTTGAAATTTTTAAACTTCCTGGTTTATGCTTTTGTATAGCACTGCTCAACGATGGACTTATCTCTTTTTGGCATATTAATGTTTCTCCACTTCTGTAGGTTGCAGCCAGTAAGAGACACTAGAGAAAAGCAGATACAACTCTGGAAGGAGCTAATACTTGATTACTGTCGAACTCAAAAAGTATTTGTGATTGGATTGGATGAAGATTTCCAACTATTTAGCAATCCTACGATAGAAAGTGAGTATTGGCCTTCTGAGTTGCTCTTTCTTCGATATTAGACTGATATAAAGAGAAGGTAAAAGGGCATTAATCTGTAGGGAAAGCTTTGGTAGTGTTATTTGTTACTTATCTAGAATAATTATTGGGGCTACTGTATTTTCAAAATGTAGAGCAAGCTTGCTTTGTTTAAAATAGAAGGCACTGTCTTTTCACTGTTATCATCTGTGTTGGAAGCATATTTAGGTTTGTATACTTGAGAAACTCAGCCCAGAACTAGGTATAGCCAGACCAGATCAATCATGGGGTAGTGGAGTTTCACTTGTTATGTAATTAGCTCATACCACAAGGTGGGCGAACTTTTATATGCGTATCATACATAATATCGGCAAGATTTTCCCCTTGCTATATGAGATCCATTTCTGTAAATATTGATGCATGTATTTTCTCAAAATTTTCCTTTTTCCTATATCAAACGTTGAAAATCAACTGACGAAAACATCAAACTAATATTTAGCCCTTGTTTGAGCCTCATTCTTCTAAAAATTCATTTTTTCAGAACTCATTTTCAACCACACGTTCTTCAATAAAATATATTACACGCAAATCAAAAAAAATTCTTTACTTTTACCACACATTTTCCATCAATCACTATTTAAAATGCATTCTTTCCCTTAAAATGGGGCTCAAGCAAGGGATAGTTGAAAATAAAACGGTGTAGTAATTTTAGAGTAAACCAAAGAAATTATCATGCAATGGAGAGTCCTCGGACGTCAAAATGGCCAAGGCAAGACAGAATATTAATGTTTTTTTTGCATTCTTCTTTGTGTCTGCTAATTTTTTGTGTCTACATTGTATGGTCACTCAAGTTATATGCCCGCCTAAACATTTTATGTTTTTTGCTTTCTTTCATTTTCCATTGCGCATTAAATGTGATATAATACCCTGTTACTTGTTCGTTTAGGGTAGGTTTGCCTTTTGGATCCAAAACCATCAACCTGCCAAATCCAACCACAATTTTGCGCCTCAAGCGAATAATATTAACATATGGGTCAAGTTGGGTTGGCTTCTTTGGAGCTACTGCATACAGATTGAAAATGGATTCACTTTAAGAATGACTTTAGAATTTGTAACACAACTTACAACCTGCATTATGAACTACCTTTCCAAATAGAGAGATTGATAGATGTCAAGAAGAATAAGAATGCGAATTGCTTGCTAGCACCTAATTACAATCATGCCCTGTAATTATCATGGGGCGCCATTGTAAGGATTAGCAGTGATGAGTTGCTACCATTTCCTTTTTCCTTTCTTCTTTTCTTTTTTAGAGTATTGGCAAACTTGTCCCTAATGCAGAAAAGGGATTGCAGCGAAGTACCTCAACGTCAAATCCTTGTGCTCATTCTATCTCACCCACATTCATGGCTTCTGAATTGCTTCATTATGAATAAACACAACTATGCCCTTTGAAGTAGAAAAGAAATATTTAGGGTACTGCCAGTAGCTTCATATCTAACCTTACAGATTAAGGAGTTCAATCCTTGTTACGAAAAAGATTTAGACTGATATTTGATAGAGGTTTTATCCATACAAAAATAAAGGAATTGATTACTGTTTTGAGTAGTGTACCTGTATTTGTTTTATGGATATCATGATGGTGGGTTGACCCCAACCATTTCTGATCCACATCTTTGACTCACTTGTCTGCTATAAATATTGTAGCAATTAAAATGAAGGATATATGTCAGAATTTAGATGTTCACTCAAGTAGTTGAAAACCCCTGTTGCAGATGCAGTTTTAATGGAATGGTAAGATATACAGTTTTTCAGCCAGTCTTGCGGACTTCTCTAGACTTTCTTTAAGCTTGACGGGGGTAGCAATGAAGCTTTCATAAACCATATGGATGATCGAATTTTCGAGATATTTGGCTTAGTTAATCAGAATTTCATTAGTACGGTATTGGTTGATGTAGAGAATTGTAAATTTTTTTTTTTTAAGTAGAGTGATCCGTGTTACTTCTGTTTCTATTCTTGATTTCCGCTTTAGTTATTCTATGATGTTAAAGTTTTCAGCATTGTCGATTATTCAGATACAAGTATAATGTACTCAGTTAACTATATTACATTACTGAAAGGAAAAGGTATTTTGTTAAATTATGGTGTTTTAACATATTTTACTAAATATGAACCGCTGTGTAAAATTGAAGCTCAAGACTTTAGTGTAATGTTGTATAATGTATTTCTGATTCATGTGTCCCTTCTGAATGACTCCTCTGGTCGTGATAATACAGGATCTCTAAGTCATGAAGCTAGGGAGGCGTTTCTCTCAGCCTTAGTTTCGGAAGGTTTGCCTCTGCCAAACAGATTTGCTTATCTGTTGAAAATGAGGATGATGTCCTATGTTTGCAACACAGGCTGATCATAATATTATATGTTTTATTTGACAGGACGTGCAGAATGGTTGGATAAAGGTCACAGAAAATGTCTAATCCTTTGGCATCGGATTCAAGATTGGGCTGACTTGATATTACATTTCGTGAGTATTGCTCCAATCTTCTGACAGCTGCAAATTAGTCATGGGTTTTTACTTTGGTTGTGATTCTTCCTATATCTTATTAGGTGAAGGAAAATGGCTTGGAGGATAGCGTAATGACAGTTGAGGAAATACGTTCAGGGGTTGAGTCTCGAGGGACAGGTAAAGTTTGATGGTGTTAGAATTTGTATAGATACGTGTATAATACTTTTATTTTTGGCAAATCCTGCTGGCCTCTGATTGTTTGTGTGCTCTTGAGTTTTACATCTTGGAACTTCTTGTACCATCATTCTTCTCTCTTTATCTGATAAAAATACTAAAGGTGAAGTCTTTCCACTTTCTATTCCATTATTTGTTTTTCATTTCCCTTTTTCTTGGGAGGATGGAAGGAGCTATTTAATCTGCTAGTAGTACTATGGAAGCCTTGGTGAGGTTTATTAATTTTTGTTAATTCTATAATCAGATTTACCTTCATTACAACATACTAATTACTGATCTGATTAATATAGAGTAAGATTCTAAGGTCTGAGATCTGATTCTCAGTATGTAGATTCGTTTAATAAGCTTGCATGAATAGATCGTTAATTTGTAATGAAACAGATATTTGGAATCTGTATTCTTATCCATTTGAAACAGGGCCTTCTATTTAGTTTTCTTATTCTGATACCAGAAAATATTAGTCATCCCCGTTCTTGCATGTGCAATTTTTTAGCTGTCTAGGGACTCGTTGATTTGCACATCCTATTAATAAATCTTCTGCATTAGATGTCTTCTAAATTAGCATGCAACATCTAGCTAATGGGTTTGGACTCTTGATTTTACCACTCGTGCTAGGAGATTCCGACTCAAACGGTTTACATGTCTAAATTGTCTTAATCTGATGCATCTGGAGCCGGAACGGCCAACACCCTCTTGCTTGTTTTCTTGGAATCCTTTTTTGTAGGATAAATAGTAGACCTTCATGTGGATAAACTTGAGGCAGTTCAATTTTTTCTTGTATAGGTGGGATTAACATAATAAATACATCAGCTTAAAAGTTTCATGGAGTTGCATTATGTGGCATTTTTCACTGAAAACTAGTTCTGTTTTCAAACCATGCACAGTCTAACATAACAACATTCTCTGTGGTTTTCTTGATGCAATTCAGAGCTTCATGGAATGGATCGAACTATTTTAATGCGAGCCCTCAAGCTGCTAGAACACAAGGGGAAGCTTGCTATCTTTAAGGGAACTTCTGCTGATGATGAAGGTGTGAAGTTCTCCATATAAATTGTTCACTTTCACCTAGGAGTGAGATTAGATATATGCCATTTTGCTGTTGAATTGCTTCATCTGGATCTGATGCCTAACGATTATTTTAATCAATCATTCCTACTTTATCTTCCAATTGTCTTTACATTTCCTTGATAATCCTATCTGAATTCTGTCACGATGCCACCGGAAGTTCAGCCTCAAACGCATATTGTACTTCTCGAATTTGGAACTGTCTACTTAATCCAATACTCCAGCTTGACAGTTTCCACCGGCTGGCCAAGACACTATTTTTCGTCATTAAAGTTTGTATATAGTAAACAATTTCTTGCTGTGGCAGTTTATGAGCATAAACGGTATCTAAACGTTTATTGTGTCTCCTATAGGTATCCAGACTTCCACTTTTCTTTATTTCATGCTCGTACTTCCAAATATGATTCTTTCATCCAATAGCTAGGTGTTTCTTGTTTCTTGTGTACTACAAGAAACAAACCTTCAATTTTCCTGAACCATACCGGCACTTAAAAATATGCTTTTCATCCATAAATTAGCCATTTTTTATTCCCTTTAAAATTTTAGTACATTTTTCTCTATTTTCTTTTCAACTTCAGATTCCTCAATAAAATAATATTACACGTAAATCAAAGACTTTTCTTTCTTTTTAAAGCACACATTATTATCAAAATAAAAAATAAAAATTGATTCGATACATGAAAATGAACGAAGAAAAACTTTAAATCGTCACATAGGAAGGAAAAAGGGAGAAGAAATGACTAGAGAGAAGTATAGCGAGGAAAAAGGGTGAATAAATAAGGGACATCGGGATCTATCATCTTCACTCATAAGATGGTGCAAGGCATTCGTCCACCATATCCACGAGGTTTGGATTTTCCAGAGCTGCTGCTACCCGTTCTTTATCATTCAACTGTTTATTTACTGCAAACAAACACAAATTTTTTTAACAAAAATATCTCATCAAAAGCTTCAAGCAAGGAAAAGGAAGGCAAACGATGAGAATCCCCTAATGACTAGATTGAACTTGGTTGTTCAAATACATTCTTTCTTTCTTAGGTGATCAACAAAGTATTTCAGAAACAATTTCCATAAATTCATTCATAATTTGACCAAGTTAAGACAGGATTAAGTAAAACTTGGATCCCTCATTCTTGTCACCTCTAACTAGATTGCACGTAGGTGAATTATATCTAAACTGATCGTATTTCTAGAGTTTCCATCTCTTGACTCAGAATATAGGTTACGGAATCTAATCACATCAGGCACCATATTACCAATTACACACTTTTTAAATAAGAGGTTGCAAGACAGAGGCGCATAGAAAAGGGTGTAGGAAAACCCTGCATCAATTCTGTAGTAACAAGCAGCAAAATGAATAAAACATCAAATCTAGTAGGCAAATATAATTCTCCTCAACGAAATGGTGGTACAAGAAAAAATTCGAAAGGGACCACCATGTGATTTAAAACTGGAAGGTGATCATATAATGACTAAATGCAGGCAAAGGAAAAAAAACCCACATAAAAGACGTGAGCATGTTCATGGACAAACACACAATATATATATATATATATATATATATATATATATATATATATATATATATATATATAGAGAGCGAGAGAGAGAGAGAGAGAGAG